TACGAAAGCAATGAGCATTATGTTGCGTTCTTAAAATATGTTCGCTTTAGTCAGAAGATTAAATAAAGTTGCAATTAACGAAATTGTTTTATTTTTCCAAAATTGTTTTCCCTCGAATAATACTTTCAAACGTCAAAACGGAAATTGACAGATTGATTTTTTTAGGTTGGTAGCAACGTAGACTTGTTCATAATATTGCTAGCATTGAAAATGACAATTTTTATTCTCCGTTTGTGTATCTAATTAGTCAAGAGTCCCGTCTCTTATTTTATATACTCTTTGTTGACCATTTGACAATTGATAGTGACATTTTAAAACTATTGCCAGTGTAAAAATATTTCAACAAGCTAAGCAAAGAGTATATAAAATAAGAACTAAGGTAACAAAGTAAAGCATAAAAAAAAATTTGAATGTGTTTTATACAATGATGAAAAATAAGAAGTTTACATCTGTATTCGCTTACTTAAAATACCTAGCTACATGTGCAAGAAACTTGGTAGATTTTACGTTGCGCTCTTGACCACTTCCTTTATATTTCGAACGCGTAAAACTGTTTTTATAATCACACTGTTTTTATAACAGGCGCTTACAAAAAAGTAATCAGCTGGATTAGAAACTCATTCATGCTATACTATATTGGTCATGATTTTATCCTTCACCTAACTCATTACAGACGTATAAATGTTTAGTTTCATGATAGGCTGATGAATATTTTTTATGTAAAAGAACGACAAAACTTACACGCGCCTTTTCTGCCGTCTGTGTCGTCGTAAATCATTTAGTAAGTGACGCAAAGAATGGAGGAAGAGTGGCCAATTGGTCGATTAGCCAATTCGTTGGTCCCCTCTGTTTTGGCATATCCTCGCACTTGAACGGCGGAGAGTTCAAGGTCACATTGTAAATTCGAGAAGCTTGTATGTCTATTACACCATCTATTTTAGTGTCTCAGCTTATTTCATAGAATTCAGTATCAAAATAATAAAACAAGATTCGAGATTATAATATTTTTGGTTGCAGAAAAACTGAAGCACGTCTATAAATGGGTAAACCTGAAAAAGACACTCGTAACAGGCATATAAGAGAATGTAAAAGCTTATGAGGGACAGGGGACTTGGAGGGAAAACTGTCAAGATTCGCTTCCGTCATAAGTCGCTTTGATCTCAAGCTTTCCATCGGGCACGTTTCCATTATCACAAGTTATTCATATTTATGTATAAGTAACGCTATTTCTTCATAGAAAGCCTGTGGATTTTGGCTGTAATTTTTTTTAATCAACTCTTATTTACACGGCCTGCCAGCTGCAAAACAAGTGTGTGTTTTTCTCTCTTATGTGAATACCTTTGTGGTCATCGCTTATGTCTTGTCTATACTTAAATATTGTCGTCTTCTTTGTTTAAATACATAGGGTGCTAAATTAAGTTTTTTTTAATACCCGGGCGGACAGAGTCGAGGACGTCATCATCTCATCATCATGACGATACCGTTGGCAACAGTAAGTTTATGAATACGATATATCGACGTATAGAAATGGAAACAGAACCAATCCACAGTATGCACACGAAGTGGGTTGCTTCGAGCATCGTTCAGAATGCTGAACCGTTCTCTACGAAAACAATAGGAGAGCTCGTCAATGCCTCGCGTAAACCAAACACTTTTACTGCCATTTCCATAACTAATGTCTTTTTCATAAAGAAATAAAGTCTATTATCGCATGAATTACATGCTTTTAGTAGCATTTGATAAATTGGTTGCAGTCCTTATCAAGAGAATGTAGTTTTCGAAGTCGCATGCATTTCATGAGTGCCTGGTACTTTCTATGTATTCTAGTGATTGTTTGCTTTATTCTAGTACTAGCTGTCGCCTGCGAGTCCGTCCGCGGAAAAAACAAACTTAATAAATAAATAGCCTATGTGTTCTTCCAGACTGTCTTCTACATCCATGCCAAATTTCAGCAAGATCTGTGCATCCACTTTGCAGATACCTTCAAACATTCATGCATCCATATAAACATTCGCATTTATAATATTATAGTAAGTAGTATAATTAGTATTATTGTATTATATGTGTTAGATACATTTTTTTTTACTTAAGTATAATATTATTTTATAATTTAACCGTCATATTTTCAATGAAATATCTACTTAATGATTAATTAAGGCTAACTCATTAAAACCCTTCGTTAAAATGAATGAAGTCGTCAGCTTTCTCTTCAAAAGTTATAAAATTTAAAATATTTAACGTATATTCTTAACTTTATAGACAAATCACTCCATCAATCGCTTCTATAAATAAATCGTAAACACTTCAGTTCAAACGTTAAGGTGTGGCTGAGCCTTAAAAAAGCATTCCCAAGTACTTTTGATTAAAATAAGTATTGGCCACATTAACTGTATTCAAGAGATTGTCCAACAATAGCCACTTAAATTGCACTGGCGTTTGTTTATAACTAGGTGTCACCCGCGACTACGTCCGCGCGGAAATAAAAAAAAAACTTAATTAGTAGGATATATGTTCTTCCAGATTATGTTCTATATTTATACCAAATTTCGTCGCGATTCCTGGAGCCGTTCTGGGGATAACTTCAAACAGACATCCATCCATCCATCTAAACATTCACATTTATAACATTAGTAGACTCAAGCGTCAAATATACGTGTTATATAACGTTTTTTGGCTTTGAATCTTCTAAAATATATTTATGATTCAGGAGAAACCATAGAAAATAGGTAAGTGAACAATATTTTGATACTTCCAGACGTAATACAGCTTATTACAAAGTGTAATGTTACATATCTAGTGTGTAGTTGCCTTTAGAACAGAAATACAGGGAGTAGCCATTAAACTAAAGAGTTTTTTATACAAAAAAAAATGTTCTAGCGATTGTGTAGACCGGCTAGGCATGTCAGCGGCCGCGGTATATTTATGGGGCCGGACTATTTACGGCGTTGGCGTATTGTAAAGAAATCCTTTTGTTTGGTGCCGGGACGTAAACGAGATGATCCCCGCTTAGTTAGCAAACAATGCAAGGCATGGAACAGGAGAGCGAATGGAGTAAATTTTTCAACGTTCCAAGCTAATGCTGTATTGGATGGCAATTAATAATTTTATTATAAACATAAAAATATATTATGCACATAGGGAAGGCAAATAGTTTGCTGGGAAACTAAACTATAACACTAGCTTTATTATTTAGTGTAATATAAAAACAAATTGTATATTTCTCTATTAAAACAGCAGTTAATAAGGTCTTTTGTCATTTTTACGGCTTTTGATTTCATAAAGAAATCGACTCCATAGTTTTTGTAATCTATTGCACTTGAACTAGTAGACTTGCGGCCTACACAAACAAACTGACACCCTGACATACAGTTCGATGCATTACAAATAAATCTCGCCACAGACACCCCCAGCTACTCTGACAGGTTTATGTATAGAACGTCATTCATCGCTACCGTAACAAAAAAAAACATAATTGGATTTTGTCGTCTGTCGTTATTAGACCGTGTAAAGTTTTTTTATAACTGACTAGTTGTCACCCGCGATTCCGTTCGTATGGAATTGAAAAAAAGTCAATGAGTAGCTTATGTGATCGTCCAGACTATGTTCTACATCTGTGCCAAATTTCAGCGAGATTCGTTAAACCGTTCTAAAGATACCTTCAAACAAACATCTATCCATCCATCTAAACATTCGCATTTATAATATTAAGAGTAAGAATAAGATTAGTAAGATTGTTAGGTTAGAATTAGATGCTTCTACTTTTACTAAATAATTCTATAATACCATCGTTTAAATTACAGCTTTTGATTTTTTTCTGGCAACATTCAAGGTTTGAGGTAATGAAGGACTGAATAACATCATTTTTAAAGTTATTAACAGTATTTATTTTAGTTTTATGCATTAAAAATTCTATTTCAGTACATCTAAAGATAACCTAAAATAACTTCAAGCCACGTTTTTATTAAACCTGTCAACTGCGTGTTATTTTTTTGACACTTCACTTAAGAGTCAAGTTTATTTTAAGAAAGAGTAATCTGGTTTTATTTGGAATTTTGGACAACATCTGAAGCTCGTAAGTGAAATAATAGTTACATAACTCTTACGAAACACATGCAAGTCAAGTTCGAGTTGGAGAAACCACATCGACCAAAAACTAATTAAAAAAAAACAAACGACAATAGACAATAAAAACAAAATGGGCATAACTGTCAGATGACGTCACTAACCTCCTTTAATAAAAGGTTGTCGCCCCGTGCCTAGATAGACCTAACGGACCATCCGCCTATGCTAATAGAGCCATGTTTTCGTCCTAGGCAACGAATAGGCCATGTGCATTCACGGGGGAGGTACACGATTATAATTCGTCCATTGTATTGTCAATCAATTTAGGCCTAAACGGTATTGATTAACCATTGAGATTGCATTTTTTTCAATCCTCTATTTTGTTTATGGTTAACGTTAAGAATGACAGCGGAATGTTTTTATGTCAGACTGACAAGATGGTTTTTCGCGGGTAAATGTACGTACAAGGGCGTTGCAAGTCGATGATGGTAGATCAAAGGGGGGTGTATTATTTTTTTTATTCCAAAGGTCACGCTTATCAACGTGTGGTCCAATTAAAAAAAAACGTAACAAATATTTTTTGAGTTATCTATCCATAGGGATGGTAGGCATTTTAGCCAAAATAAATAAAGCGTTGAAAGGACACATTCGTCTTCATATCCAGTTGGTTGACGTCACTAAAAATTGCCGCCTGTTTCATATTTAAATTGTTTATTTATTTGTTCAGAATATTGGTGCAATAAATATTTTTACAGTTGTTTTAAAAATGTTTTAATACTGGTTGATAAGAAAATTTCGGTTGGAAACATCCGCCATTTTTTATCTGTTGGTTTAATAAAGTGTCCTTTTTCTACTATTTTTTTTGTTATTAATATGATTATGCCGGTTATGCTGCTAATAAATATAAAAATATGTATTCAATATAAATACCATTCATTCATTTTGTTCTTTGCTAAATTTTTCAAATGTCGAACAAGTTCATTGACCCACGACGAAATTCTGCTAAAATAATCATCACATGAAATTGGTTTTAATTGCAAATGTGACGCGACTCCATTTGCGATATCGCATCGCCCGCATCCAGTTGCTGTGCACCAACAAAATTAATGTTACAAACAGACCGCCAAATATTATTAGATATGTTATCAGATATCTTGTCGGCTTTTAAGTTCGCGCGAGTCGCTGCGCGGAACACAATGTGTAGGTGCGTTGGGGTCTAGCGGGATGCGGGGGATCACATGATGCGCTATGCTGATTATGAGCCGCCAAGATATTTGAAAACAGTTATACTTTAATAAAGTTTTCATCTGTAAACATATTAAAATTTAGGAATTAATACACATACACGTACTGCATAGTATATATAAATAGGCAAATAATTTAAGACTAAACATTTTGTAAAGGCCGACATACACGACATATGCTTCAAGCATGTCATCCGCGATATAGGTTAACTTAAGACGGTACATGGCGACCACCAATCGCTTGATAGCTATCGCTTAAAGTCCGTTTACGTTAGATCTAAGTTAACCATGTGTAACTACAATTAACCGTGGGTTTCTAAAATCTCTGAATCTCTGTATAAAACATATCGTCGTCTCTTTGACAAAACTTATATATATATATATATATATATATGTATCATACTTTGAACGGGGCTTTTGGCGTCGGAAACCCATGGTATGTGCTTCCGAGAAATGACACACGTGAACATTCCCAATCCGGTAATAATAACGAAGTAACGGCCCGAGCCGAGGTTCCTGAGGGAGTCCTCGAGCTTAGTTACTCTTAAACGAGGTTTAGGCTAAGTACCATCTGCGCTCGGCCACCTCAAGCCCGGTGAAGCTGTAAATGCCTCCTCAAGGCAAACAGTGGCAATCAGTCACAAAAAAAAAACGTGAACATTTTAAAACACAAGAATAACTAGAATCGCATTTAACATGTCGCATTTTGTATCTATTATAGTAAGTAAGTAGGTACTCTGATCAAAAAACCACATCGAATGAAAACCGCATTGTAAAACCAAAAGGTAAAAAATTACATTTCTTAAAAGTTGATTTTAGTCATAGGGTTTCCCCGTGCGTGTTAAAATCATGACCTGATATGTTCCACGTATTCAATTTACGATTAAAATGCATTTTTAAAACGTCGTTGGCGCCTAATATGATGCATTAGGGTTTTCACTCATGCGATGTTTTGTATAAGTACGTACTTTATTTACCATTGGTATTTGAGACCAAAATCTTTTATTGAATAAAACAGAGAAAACAATATCTCTATTTTAAACGGGGATTTTAATATCAAAAACCCACGGTAATGTGGACAATGTTACCACTAACTTCAGTGTTCGGTGGTGTAGCATGAAAATGCTGTCGAATACGTTACGACCACTTTCTCTAATACTTTTGTATTACTCCCCCAGATTTCTACATCGTTTTATTTCGATTACAAAGAACAGTATACATTGTAACAAACGTTTCATAAATATATATGCGAGCTATTACTTGATTCATTCAACACACTCGGAGGGACGAGAAAAATGCCGATAAATCACAATAAACCTATCAGGGGATGTCGACGCGTCAACTTATGCGCGTCACGAACAAAACACACGAATATCACCTTTATTACAATGTTATTAAGTAATCCATTTACCTGGAAGATGATAGCGTTTCCCTATTCAAAGTCGATGCTGACACTTTAAATTCACTTTGAAGAGAGTTGGTACGTACTTTTAGTAGTGTTATGTTTAAATCGCCAAGAAGGCTTACTAAAGGTTTCCAATAATGCTAATAATCCATTTCTTAAGTTATAGCGCTTTGTATACGATTGTATTATTTGCGTAATATTCCTAATATTACAAATGAGAATGTTTAGATGGATGTTAGTGTGAAACTATCTCCTAAACGGCTTAACGCATCTCGCTGAAATTTGGCATAGATATAGAACATAGACTGGAAGAACAGGTTACTTATCATATTTAATTCCGAAGGGACGGAGTCGCGGACGACAGCTAGTGTTGCAATATAGCTCTAATTACTTCATTGTCTATTTTTGGCGCGTGTCTACTGACACAATTTGATAACAGATGACGGGCGCTTCAAAGATTTGGAACATTTCGTGTAGGGCGGCCATCTTGGCCATCGATTAATACTTTTTTTTTATGCTTCAACAACTTGACTATAAATGTATAATATGACGGAATTGAACCCACTACTTCGGGTTAGTAGCTGTATTTGAAACGTAACAATATCGTAACAAAGTGCTTTCAAATTTTTCTTAGAAGATTTTGTAAAACATTTTCAATAAAATTTAATTGGATCTTGATTTATGAACGAAATGATAAAAGTTAACCGCCAACATCTCTGACATAATTAAGCCACTAATTCTATTCTATTTTTAATCTATTAACATTTTTACGGCATAGACAAAGAAGTATTCCAGAAAGCGGCTTGTATATGGCAACCCCACATTGAAGATAAACAATGACCTTTTAGCTTCATTGTTCTATCAGATTGCATGCGGTGTCAATCGTTACAACTTTACATGACTAATTTATTAAATTGCAAATAAATTTAATAGACAATTATATGAATTAAATTGTCTCCTAACTTCTGTCTGTAACATTTTATAAACATACTGTCGCCCGCGACTCTATCCGCGAATTGAAAACAATTAAAAGCCTATGTGTTCTTCCAAACTTTATCCTATATTTATGTTAAAATACAGCGAGATACATGCAGCTGTTCTGGATATACCTTCTAACAAACATACACACTCGCATTTATAATATTAGTAAGATTCGTTATTTATGAAAAAAAAACAGAGACAAGTGTAATAATTAATGTTTCTGCGGACTCTACCCTTTTTAAATTGACTAAAAAACCAATCTGGGATTATTCAAGACCACAATCAACGTCATATCCTTGCAGTGTCTTCAAATTGGTCTGTATAAATCATCATTGCGGTACAAAAGCGTTGCATCACACGAGAATCGATCCCTGAACATCCTTATTTCGGTAATCACATATAATGGGCCAACGAGTGCGCGTTGGGCAATAACCACAGATTATGTTCTATTACTAGCGCGTCTAAGGGCCTTTAAACTACGATTGATCTAGTATCTTTTGTTATATTATGATTGATATATCTTCAATCATCTTATTATGTAATAGTGTTAATTTATAATTCAAAAAACTTAAAAAGTCGACTGTCTATGACACTCCAGAGGGTATAGATAAATTGCATTCAATCCTAAGCGAAAACAAACTTCAAAATTGTATGGAACTGACGCGCGACAATCACGTGACTTCGCGAAAGTTCCATACATTATTGAAGTTCGTTACGGAATCGCTTCGAAGCGAAAGTACTTTGTCTATCCGTGAAGGGAAGAATTCGAATAACATTTTACTTGTCAAAATCAGTTCAGTCGTTTAGGCTTTAAGCTGTCACAATGGATTTTTACATGCAAACCCTTAAAAAATATTGACCTTATCTGTTGGTTAAAAAAATACGTTTTTATTAAAAAATCTTACTAAAATTATAAATGCGAATGTTTGAATGGATGGATGGATAGATGTTTGCTTCGCTATCGATATATAAATTAGGCATATATGTAAAAAAACACAAAGGCTACTAATTAATTTTATTACGAGCAGACGGAGTTGCGGGCGACCGCTAATTTACGTATAAAATCTTTGGATCTTGTATTAAAAATGCAACATTATATATATTTTTTGTTTATTGTTTCAATAATTGTTTACAAAAATATACAATTAACAAGATATATTTACATATTATTTACTTATTTACAACTTACGTATATAATACTGTTTATAACTAAAATGTCTTCTTAAAATTGTCGTAAAAATAATTAACAATGTATTAATATTTTACAACAAATTCATAAACACTAAGACCCTTAGTATGCAAAGCTACGTAAATCTTCTTAACTCTTCTTAAACGAGGCTTAGGCTATGTACCATCTGGTGAAGCTGTAAACGCCTCCTCAAGGCAAGCAATGGCAATTCAGTTACAAATAAAATATAAAACATAAAAATTCTTAACTCAGCGATTTTAGTCGCCGAGTGACTTACGCAATACAACGACATAAAGGTTCGTACACATTCGTCGCCGACGTTTTGCTTTCGTCGCCAAAGCCTGGCTCATTGTGTTTGTAAAACGTGAAAAACGTAGCTTTAATTTTTTAATTATTTAGTTACTATCCCTGTACTGGCTGAATAGACAACTCGCGTCGACGATTCGATTTTAAACGGAGCGCGTGCAACCCAAATATACAATATTAATTTCGAAGATTTACGCTCCCTTGTGTACGAAGGGCCTTAAGATACGACATATTTTTTCCATAAATTTGATAATGATTTTGTCTTGAACTCCTATCGTTGTCTCTTTCACTCTCGTTGATGGAAGAGAGATAACAATATTTTTACAAGTATCACTGCAAATACCACAGGTTATATTAAAGTGAAAACTTTTTTGCAGTCTGTACAAAGCTCTGTCATTGTCCACTTGTATTACTAAATATAACAGTAATAAATATACTTTAATTAGGCATTTAATTATTAGCTACATCCATATGTCTAATGTCGTTTAATCATGAAATTGCATTTCCTCATAAATATTATTACATCTAGTAATTGATACTAAGTTCCAAGTTATCTTTAAGTAACCTAAGTTTAAGTAAGAGGTCCCTGCAGCCTGGTGTCGTATATAGAAGTTCTGTTGGACTGTACTGGTGTTACGATCCTTTTCTCCCTTTTCTGTTCTTTTAAGTTAGAAAAGTTTTTGCAAAGGACTAGTACCTGTAGAAAGATAAAGAAATTGTTATCGTTTTATCATGTCACGATGCTTAATTATAAAATTATTTATTTTACTTAAGCTGTTGCCCGCGACTTCGTCCGCGTATAATAAAAACGGCTATATATTTACAACTAGACGGCAAACGGTACACAGACAACTTTATTTTACTAACTAAACCCATCTATGTTCTTAATTTGAAGGGCTATGACGTCACAAATGACGCAAATACAGGTATATTCTTACATCGAATATTTGGATGGATGGATGTTTGAAGCTATCTCCAGAATGTCTACATGTATTTTGGAATAGATCTAAAGCATAGTCTGGAAGAACATATTACTAATTAAGTTTTTTACTCCGCGCAGAGGGGGTCGCGGGCGACAGCTAGTTTATCATAGTGTACTTAACACGTATCATGCCACAACGATTTCTCACTATAAAATTAAACTAGTTGATGAATATATATTATAATATATATTATGTTAGTAATTAATATCAGAGGGAAATTTCTATGAGTAAAAATTTTTGCCCACTGTGCAGACAACTCGGTAGTGATTGTGTTAAGCTTTACTATAACTACGACATTAAGGTTCTATTTCTTGTACTCACAGTATAAAATACACATATAGCTCCAATTACAGCGCCAGTTAGGACATCCCACCAATGATGTCTACGATCAGTGATCCTGGTGAGAGAGCAGACAGCGGCGTATGTGAGGCACACCAGTTGAAGCACAGGCACAGCAAGGACACTACGGTGTCTCCAATCGAACGCACGTTGTTGTAAGTACCACTGAAGACAGAGGAAAATAATCTTTAATACTTCAAACTTTATTCTTGTTTAATTATGTATTACTGCATCGTATATTTCGAAGTTATTGAATCTTTTAATTTTAATCGAATGATTCCAGCCAGTTTTATTCGGAAGAACTAGAAAGAAGTGAGTTTCTTCTAAACATCACATGATTTCTGAGACCCGAACTGAGCACTTCTGACTAATTCAGCACTGAGCTCATAAGAGTGCCAATAGCCTAATGGTTAATGGTACGGATTTCCGATCATGTGGCCAAGAGTTCGAATCCCACCATTCGACTATTGTAAACCATATTCTATCACAAGCCTAGAGCTTACTAGGAATGGTACAAGAAATATTAGTAAGTTAACAAGAATCCTATAATATTTTAAAAAATCCTATTGGCTGGGCATCTTTAACTGGTTAGGCTTGAGTTATTTACCGCTATAAACAGTCCACAGTAGACGGAGAGCGAGGTGTGTCCTGAAGGGAAGCTGTGGTAGGAATCCATCTGATACCACGCAGAATATCTGGTCGATGTACACTCAAATGTGCTCACGTATTCTGACCTGAAAAACACAATAAAAATGAATATTTTTATTACCCACAACTATTACTAAACGGACTATTTATAAAGTTAATTGTTGGTTAAGTTCTTATTCGTCGAAAAGATTTTTTTTTCATTTATAATCGTCGTGTAGAGTCGACACATTATGTCATAATGCAGTTTAGAAAGAAAGCGCGAAACATATCTCTATATCTATCGCTCATTTTGTGCGTTCTACTTTTAAACTTTTCAAGGTCAAACTGTTTCGACCGATATGTTTTCTTTTGTACTAAGTACTCTTAATACATTCCTATCGATGCTCATATCTGAATTCGCATGTTTTTATGCAAACTATTTAATTTTTTTTTAATTGAATAAAGCAAAAATAGTTAAATAATTACAAGGCAACGTTCATTGAATATTATGGAATTGCAAAGTGACTTTTGTTTGTCATGTTATTTATGAAAAAAAAATGTGGATGGAAAACTACTGGGATTTGAAACAATCAAACCACAGATCCATGATCTAATAACAAACAATTATATTAATAATTATTAATAACGTAATAAATATTATTCATTATTTAAATTACGCGAGCATAAAATAATAAGTAACCGAATTCAAATCGATTATGTAATCGAATACATGTTTTAAACCAATCGATGCAATCGTTAAAATATTATCGTTTGGTATCGATTAATTGTTTTGAAATCCGATTCGAAATCGATACTTCTTAAGTCTCCACTTGACATAAAGTTTACCGAGAAATTTAAAACGACTTGAGTGTGAGAAAATGTTTCACTGTCATTATAATCGTTTACTTATGCCAAAACATACCGCTATCTCTCTTTTATCAAAGAGACCAAGGGAGAGAAAGAGAGAGAGGGCAATATAATGCCTTATTCAAGTTACATCAACCTAATAGATTTAGCTATCTGTTTGCTAGTCTATAATTGCTTTGGGCTGTACTATAAAATCAGACAATATTTAAAATAGATCTTGGCTTAATAATACGCCTACCTTTTTATGCTGTTACTAAAACTCGACGCGGACATTTGACAAATCATAGCGAAAACATTATGCGCAGACTTACAAAATATATAATGAAACACTTATATCGAAATGGTGATACATATTTAAGATAAAACATATGTTTTATTGCCCTTATCGTCCATAACATCCTTCACCGGCGTTCAAAAAGTTAAAACACGCATTTAACTAAGTGTTTAACAATATTTTACTTACCCATTACAAGTTTTGGCGGTATCAGGCTCACATATATCAAAGAAGGTCGGTCTAGGATTCCCCGTGATGCCTTTCATAACTTCAACAACTACAATATTAAAGACCAAGCCGTAAGCGTAGTTACGATACAGAAAGAGAGCTTGCTTTACTGAATGTTTCATCTTCTCACATATTTTTAGCTCTGAATCTAACAATATCAGCTCAGTTATCCATATCTGAAAAGAAAATAATTATTCAATCCTTAGTTTTTTTACTATAGATGTCAGGTAAACTTTTTTTTGCAAAAAATTGCCAGACAAAGATTATCGTAAAGTACCAGGACTTCATAAAAGTAGGAGAGATATTATCATTGTCTTCTTAAGATAAAGGTCTTTCGAATTTTATCCTTCCTGAAGCATTATAGTACTTTTTTATTTTTATATAATAAGGTGGCAAAAAAGTGAGCGGCCACCTAAAATCGCTGAAATAGCGAAGTGACCGTTGCCCATAGACATACGCAATTGCATATGCGTTGCCTACCTTTAATCGACGGAAGAGAGGATGCACAGAAAGAAAATATCTTCCCTTTCCAAGCATCCTCTTATCCGGAAAGTCCACTTCCACTTCCCATCATTTCCTTAAAATAAAAAAGGGTGGGAAGGGAAAGAGGACTAAATTAGGCCTCCGGGACGTAAAATTATAATAATTTGAATTAGTATTCAGGCTACATAAACATTACACATTAAATTCTCTATAAATTTAAGTATCGTAACGTAAAGTATTCAACCACAAAAGTCAGCGGCAAATTGGCGAAGATGAAATCGGCACAGAATACCATGGCTTATAGCCTATCCATAAATAATTGTTAGTAAAGACGCACCAGTATAAATGGAGACACGATGATAGATGTCACAATGACAGCTGCAGATACAGTGTCGCCTGTGAATTTGTAGCTGAGAGCTGGATCATTGCAGAAGAAACCGCTTTTATGCTGAGGGAATATACCCAGCTCTTGTAGTGGTGGAAGTATTAATACTGAAACAAAAAAAAATCATTTAAGATAAGTTCCATAGATATTAAAACTAATAGTCAAGTCCCTAAAAAAACTTTGATGCGTCTTATTTTTTCTTGTGCAGCAAAGCATTAGAACATGTTCCCGGTTTCAGTGTTTCCGAATTTCATAAAGCCGTAGTACCATTGTATTAAATCACATTATATAGGATTGTGGTCAAGCGCTAGAGATTTTTTTTTTAAAATAGTTATCGCCCGCGACACCGTCCGCGTGTAGTTAAAACTTAATTAACAGCCTATGTGTTTTCTCGGACTATATTCTATAACCATGCCACATTTCATCGAGATCCATGAAGCCGTTCCGATAATACCTTTTAACAAACTTCTACCAAACTTTCACATTTATAATATTAGTAAGATATAAAATCTTATAAAATGTGGATTATAATACTACAAGCTAAGTATCCAGTCTTCTCCAGTCCCCCTTGCTTCGGGATCGGGACAAAAGAACATTTCCGCGCCGTATTGGGCAACGCCCGGTCGTTAGTCAATTTGTTTCGCCATCGCCAACATCGTCCAAACCGGCACATCCGCGATCTGGTTAAGTTCAAAGTCAATGTCAGACTGCTGGCGGGGGAGGGACACGCGGGGCGCGAGGGAGGGGGAGTTACGAGACAATTGCATAAGTGGCGAGGAAGATCCATATCGCAAGGGACCTTTTACATTAACTAATTTGAATAAATAAATTTATTTTCCATGGTTACTATGGAAGCATTTAAGAAAAAATGTTTTATACTAGCTGCCGCCCGCTACTCCGTCCGCGCGGAATTAAAAAAAAACTTGAATTAGTAGCCTATGTGTTCTTCCAGACTATGTTCTATATTTGTGCCAAATTTCATCGAAATTTGATGAGACGTTCTGGAGAAACTTTCAAACAAATATCCATCATTTAAACATTCGCATTTATAATATTAAGTAAGATCTTAAATGTCCTATCCACAGTGTAAACAGTTCTTAAGGCTAACAAGTCAATCTTGACGTTCGTGATTGTTCGCCGTCCAGAAAATATCACTATATTTATGTTTAGTTTGTTGACCAAAATTATGTTGAGTTTAAAAAGTATATTATGTCGAGAGTTATTCAAAACTCACAGTCAGTTTATCTTCTCCAATTTAGCAATGACATTTTGATATTTTTTTAATGTAATAAACGTGTCCCGCGACTTCTAGCGTGCAGAATTAAAAAATCTACTAATTAATATGGCCTACATCACTCGGAGATAGTGTAACTTCACAACTGCGAAGGAAATTTTCAAATCTGTTCAGTATTTTAAAGCCTGATCAATATAAACAATCAAATCTTTCCTCTTTATAATCTAACTTCTTACTTATTTGCGAAAGTTTAAATAAATGGATGGATGATTTAGATGGTACCTTTAAAACGGGTTATTAGATCTTGATGAAATTTAACACAGACGTAGAACATAGTAGTAAAAACACATAGGTTAATGGAGTCGTAGGCAAGGGCTACTATTAGTGTAAACGTAATAACTACTGATTTTAGAATACTAAAGCAGCTTATTGATTCTAATACGTATTTTATTAAAAGAATAGGAACCTTCTCGAATGTTCCTTCGAGTAAAGTTGATCAAGAGTATAGTGGGGAAGCTCAGATCTATTCAATTACTATGATAATCGATCTTGATCCTAGGATTTGTTTACACAAACTTCGTGCGAAGATGTTAAAGCGGGCTCTACCACTGTTAAAATGATGAATGTAAACAAATGACTACCATTCTAAAGGAGTGTAGTTACACTTTAGAATCACAGGGAAAGGTAGGTAGTACGTATCCCTAGTCTCTTAGTAAAAAAACCTTGAATAATGTCTCATCTGGTCTGCGAGATATTGCGTGAACTTTCGTTCTTAATGTTCTTTAACTCTTCGTTTAGATTACTTGAATTATTTCACTAACAAAATAATACATCTAGTTGTAAACGTTGCTTTATTTATGACGTAACAGCTGAGCTCTCCTGTCATCCGGCGTGTTCACTTCCACGTTAGTAACCACGTGAACGCTACAACTTATTGCGTAACCCTTTTGAGCCAATCAACTGCAGATTTAACTGCAACTGATACACGGATAACTAACTGAGATTCATCTTTGTTTAGTAATATAGTTGTAGATATTATTGTCAACTCAAATACGTTTTCATTAAGGGATTCGAGTCACTAAGTTAAGAGAGCTCCTCCGGTGCCCCTATTACAGAACGGGGACTTTTTTAATACAATATTTTAAAATTATACTACTTATAACTACGGTGTACCGTTCTTCGTACAGTAAAGGAAAACATCGTGATGCAACCTGCACATATCGAAGAAGAAATTCAAAGATATTTGTGAAGTCAACCCCGCACTTGGCCAGCGTGGTTGACTATGGCCTAATCACCCTTAACTTAGGGTAGGATCCGAGCCCCTCGGTGGTGACGTATAGTGAGCTAATGATGATGAAGTGCTAATCAGGGCTTGTATTTTTAAGTAATTTTTACAAACGCACAGGCGGTCACCCGCGACTCCGACTTCGCGGAAATAAAAAAAAATAGTAGCCTATGTTTTTTTTTATAACAGAAGGGGGCAAACGAGCAGCGGGAACACCGAGGTGTTCAACGACGCCCATGGACATCAGCAATACCAGAGGAACCGTAGATGCGTTGCCAGCCTTTAAGATGGTGATAAGCTCGCATCTTGAAGGACCCTAAGTCGTAGCGGTTTTATTTTTCTATATGTTGTATGCCAAATATTACCAACAATCACATTTATAATATTAGTAAGATATAAAGTATCTTAGTGGTTTTTGATTACGTATTGCCATTTTTTTTCGATGTGTAAAAAAACTCGAGAGCACACTTGGAGGCAAGTTAACAAGTACGACCTTTTTCTAATCTGTTTTTTTTTGTGCTTACATTAAAAAAGACACAGTGTTTTAATCTTTTATAATAAGAGAGATATTTTTTTTTAATTTTGATACATTTTGCTTTGTTGGTAATTTTTTTTTTCGTAATAAAAAAAGTCGATGATAGTTCGTAAATTTATATTAGTTCGAATATCTTTTCTTCAACTTGCTTTGTAAATTATCAATGTGATTCAACAGAACAGTTTATTTTAAATTTTTAATGGTTTGTCGTTTTAGCAATTGAATAATGATCTTTGTACACTACGCAGTTGTATTCCAACGTTGGCCCAATACGTTGCACCAATGTGTGAACATTGGACCAACGTGTTTGCCATACGATCACAGATATTATTGTTTATCGTCTTTACAAACATATAACTTTCAGTGGTTAGCAAAAAACGTGTTAAAAAGTTATTAAAACAGTAGGATTTTAGTATTAATATAGTCAAATCTTAAAATAATAAATCTACTATAAAATGTCTTGGGAATACATATACTTTTTAAGCTTAAGTGTTCACATGGAAATAATTTTAAATCAAACTGTCTTGTAGTTTCTACTACTTGACAATAGATGGCGTTAGCTGTATTTTTGTAAATAAATTACGGATTTGAATAATTTATTCAAAAGTTATAACTTAAAGATACTTAATGATAGTTACAATTAAAAATCTATTTTTAAATTTATTTATATTTAAACAACTCATATTAAAAGTGACATTGTTCCTGTAATTAAATAATTTGAAAAATTCCGAGACCATTTTATGATGTAACATATTAGACCAAAAATAATTTGATAAATTCAAACAAATTTAACAGAATGAAATCCGTAAGCAATTAATTAGTTACTCTTTGTTAAGTAGAACATTTGTATAAAAGATCACGGAGAATATAGATTATTAAACCCTGATAACAAAATAAATGTAACTTATAATATTCAAAGGTAACATAGATCTGTATCTTAATATCTTCATTAATTTTCAAAATGAGATTCGTGCTACAGATTATATGTCACCGAAAAATTGTGTACTTCGTCGGTTTATAATCTTACTAGGCAAATAATTTAATGTAAGCATTTTCTTAAAATAATTTATAATTGACTTATCAAACGTATAATTTAAACAATAACATAATAATGCAACCTAAATATTAGTTCACAATTTGACGATTTACTTTTGTCACATTATAAACTATTAGAAAGAGCCATGTTATAGGAATAGTTGGATGTCAGTTTATAATTTCACAATTTGACTAAATTCACAAACGGTCGGTAACATAGCGATGGCCATATTTGATATTGGTTTGGATTATGATTAAGAACAAGGCGGTGTTTTTGAAAGATTTTTTTCTTCTTGTGCAATGAATGCTTAATAACTTTGGTTTAATTCGAAAAGTAAAAAAAAATCTTATTTATCTATCGTATATGTAGCCACATAATCTTAGTTCTTAATATAATTGCACCTCATTATAAAAATAAATGTTATATTTTGGAGTTTGACACATTTACCGCGGCGGTCGTTGACATGTTGTTTTTTTTATTATTTTTTTCTCTTCTAAAGCGCAGCAGCGATTGCGTGCATTCTGCCACATGTGATCGTATGGGGTCGAACACGTGTGCCCGCTTTTTTGTCAACTTTTAAAAAGTGAAAGGTGATAATCGAAGATGTACGGCCGAATATATCTTTTAAGTAACCTTTTTAGTTTATTTTTAATTTCAAACCAGATATTTTGTTTGTTAGCCATTAAATAAAAATTATTAAAAATAACAAAGCCTAGTGGAATATTATTTTAAAAATAGATGGCGTTAGTGTTGTTTTGTATGCATCGTAAAAAAAATCCCATCAGCTTGTGATGACTTGTTCATTCAGCTATTATAATCAAATTGATTTACTTTACATCTTTTGAATACTCAACTTTTAAAATATAGACCTTATACTAAAGTATTCAAGGTTTAAATTACCTTAAATAAATAATATAACTAATAACACCCATCCTATTACAAAGAAGATTAAACCTTCATCACATCGATGGATTTGCTTCCATTTTTGGTAGTCAATTTACTTTACAATTTTAGAAACTTTTAGTTTTTTTTTAATTAAAAAGTTTTAGGTTGCTCGTTGTATACGAACGTGTGACCATACTAAATTATTCAAACTTTCGTGAGACATTATACTAAACTGATATATAAACACGGCTAAACACTCACGTGTAATAATACCAGTCCGCGAAATAATACCAGTGCCACTCATCCTGATGAAGGGCCCCCGATGGGCTCGAAACTAGTCGGTGCCGCCACCGGACGTATACACGTGAGTGTTTAGCCGTGTTTATATATCAGTTTAGTGTGACCATACATTTAAAAAAATAAGACAAGTCAAAAAACCGACGAGGACGCATACCTAGATATATGATCGTCTCTGCCTACCCTTCTGGGTCACGGACGTGAATTATGTTGTTCTTACTTACCTAGTAGTAACAAAGGCAGGTCTATCCCTAGACGCCACCAGATGCTATGCCGTTTACCGCTCGCATGGCTGTGCAGCAGTTGCGACTCAATGTCGCCGCGTCTCTGAAAAAAAACACAATTATTTATAAGTTCTATAAAAGAGACCAAAAAAATCGAAGTTGATTATTTCTTTTTTTTATATTGGAGAGACCTCTCTTCTCTAATAAACTTACTAATATTATAAAAGTTTGGATGGTTGCTTTTTAGAAAATGTTCGCAGAACGGTCTAACGGATCTCGATGAATTTTGACGTAGTCTGAAGATTGTCTGTCTGATTGTCATAGAACATTGTCTGGAAGAACACATAGGATACTATTTTTTTTTATTAATCAGCTCGAACTAAGATGCAGACGATAGCTAGATTATTAACAAGAATAGGAATAGCAATAGTCCATTGTGCCATCTCTAATTCAACAAAACATGATAAAAAAAAACTGTAGGTACAGGTAGAAACAGTAATGCTTATAAAAACGTAAGTATGACATAAATTGATAATATTTCATGTTGTAACAACTTTCATAGGGTTTTCTAACTTTATTATGAAGCAATGAAACTTCGCTCGTTAACTCTATTGATCGAGGCTCAGCCTCAAGGTCACGGTGACCTTGCCTCCTGCCCTTCACTGTGACCTTTACTCGCGCCGCCTAAATCTTCAAGGACCGTTGACCCTTGAAACTAGAATTACCTAATACGAATAGAAAACGAGGACAATATTATTGTGAGCAATGCTCAAATAACCATATGAAAATAATTAGATTTTTCTTTTTAAAACAAACAACGAAGTGTCTGGCAGGCAATATTTTTTACACGAATTTCACAAGTCTAAATACACTGCAAAAATATGTAAAGCAAATAATATGTAACGATCGCCCGCATTACCGTCTGTACGGTAAAAAAAACTGGCTTATAACAAACAAACATCCATTTAAACTTTCGCATTTATAATATTAGTAAGATTTATATATCCTACGAAACATGAAAGTCAATTGTCATTTTTTTCTGGAAAAAAAATTGAATGTTGGTCACCCTACGTCTATGTTTATTTAGTAAATTTTATTCGAAATAAAATTGAATTTGAATTATGAACGTTATTTTTTTTTCTTAAAAAGATTATAACACGAATAACGTTAAATGCGAATGTTTGGATGGATGGATGTTTGTTAGAAGGTACCTTCTAACAAACATCTCCGAAACGGCTCTACCAGTCTTAATGAAATGTAGAAAATAGTCTGGAAGAATACATAGGTTATTTATTAAGGTTGTTTTTAACTCCAGACCGACGGAGTCGCCAGCGACAACTAGTATTAGATAAAAATAATTGGTATAACACTATTAGAATATTGCCTTTAGCGTTTTCTCTTCCTCATGCGATTGTCCGAAGCTATTTGTCATAAAACAATTAGATAGATTTATTTCATAAGATAAGAAGACCACACGCGTTTATGTAATTGCTACGTTCGATTTAATTTATTATCTACCAGCTGTAGCACGCGACTCTGTCCGCGCGGCATAAAAAAAAATTAGACATTATTTGTTAAAATCATTTGGCGCGAATGGCGTACTTTCATTACAATGTCAAGTGTCGGAATGATTAGTGAGGGGACATAAACGTTGATATTTTAGTAAGGCTAGTGTTGCGCATAGGCACAGTGTCGGAGTCTACCTATCACTAGTAACCTATGTGTTCTTCCAGACTATGTTCTACATCTATGCCAAATTTCAGCGACATCCAAGCATTCTGGAAACATCTACAGTTAACTGTAGTACATTAAGTTTTTAATTCCGCGCGAACGGAGTCGCGGGTGACAGCTAGTTATAACCCATAATAATTTAGGGGGAAAAAACGCAACTCTTATACCCACTTTGTTGTCCGTCCGTCTGACTGTCGATACCCTTTTTCTCAAAAACGCGTAAAGGTATCAAGCTGGAATTTATTTTTTAATGTCTAATCTTTTGATGATGAGCGTCGGTGGCTCAGGGGTTAAGCACTTGACTTGCAATCTGCAGGTACTGGGTTCGAATCCCGCCATGTACCAATGTGTTTTTCGAGTTTTCAATTTACATATGTACATTTATCCGACGTTCTTACGGTGAAGGAAAACATCGTGATGCAAACAGCACATATCTACGAATAAATTTAAAGATATGCGTGAAGTCAACCAACCCGCATTGGGCCAGCGTAGTTGACTATGGCCTAATCAACCTTAACTTAGGGTAGGCTCCGAGCCCCTCGATGGGGACGTATAGTGAGCTGATGATGATGAATCTTTTGATGTAACACTAATATGGAATAGTACGAGTTTGTAAAGCTAAGTGACGCAGTTACTACAATTTACTACGAATTATGAACAATTATGACGTAAAATGAATCACATTTGTAAGTACAGTTGTACTACGCGATATAGGTTATATTATATTCCAAGAAATGTAGTATAAATACTACGAAAACACGACAAAGTTGGTTAGTAAAATCCTTTGAGGATAGCCCTATTAGATATTTTACAAATGTTACATTTTTTATATAAAGCAAGGATGAAGAGATTTTTTATGAAGGAAAGTCAAAATATATTTTTATAAGAGAAGGGGGCAAACGAGCGTCGGGAACACCGAGGTGATCAACGACACCCATTGACATCTGCAACACCAGAGGAACTGTAGATGCGTTGCCGGCCTTTAAGGAAATGGTATGCTCGCTTCTTGAAGGTTCCTAAGTCGTATTGGTATATGTTTGAACATTTCGCAATACTTAAACCTTATAGGAAAGTGATATCCAATCTAATAAAAATCTCACTAAAAATAAACGCGTAAGTTTTGATTTTTAGGTCCTTTGTTCTATCTCCAAAACGGCTTCACTAAAATTTAGCATATATGTAGAATATTCTGATAGAACACATAGATACCCAAGTTTATTTAAATTCTACGCGAATTAAGTCGCGGGCAAAACCTAGTCTTACATAAGACATCGTTTAAACGACGTGTTCAAGGCGCTAGTCGTCGATTGTTTAAACCGATTTAAAATGATAAATAACAATTAGGATTACTAGAAGTACGTCTACTGGAAAGGCTTCAGAAAATATGCAAATCCTCAATGATTGCCCGCAAGGTAATCGACTAAGTTATGTTAAACCTAATCGAGAAAACTAGGTCTATTGTAAACAAGTTAATTAAGAAATAAATATCACCATCAGCTCATTACACATCCCTACTGAGCTCGTGGCCTTTTTTAACGGGGGGAAATACCTTACGCATACCATCCTTGCAGGGACAAAGTTGGTTATGTCGGGCTCCACGGTGGTCGCCACCAGCGTTAACGTGGGGGGCAGGATCTGCGTACGGAACACAACCGTCACCTGAGCTCGGAGCCTACCATAAGTTCGGGGTTACTATGCCTTAGTCAATGCTAGCCTAGTGCGGGTTGACTACACATCGTTGAATTTCTTCACAAATATGTGCTGCATGTTATATGTTCCTTCACCGTAACAACATCAGATAAATGTACATATGTAGTTCGGAAATTGATTAGTCAATTAACGTGAATCTATGTTATTTTATTAAAACTTAAAACCTGTCGCACTGAGTCTCGTTTTGTCCCTTAGTGTAGACTATAGTGGCACATTTCATTCGCGTTAAAGTTTACTAATAGGCAATTGTAAGAAATTAACAATACATTTGTTCTAAGAAACATACCCCGACAGCGCCATACGTCGTGTACTGCATCACAACACACGACACTTTTACATTGAATTTAAAATAAAAATGATGTACGAAAATCAATTCGCAATCTATATGTTTAATGATAAAATATATCTTATCTTATTTCAATATTAAGTTGATATATTACTCATATACTACTTTATTTAGAAATCGTAGTTACTCATATATATACATAGGGATCAGATATATGTCGACACAAACACGGGGCGAACCCGTGATTTTTTTTACGTTTGATAAGCCAGCGCTTGACCACGATCCCACCTGGTGTTAGTGGAGATTTGATCGAGAAATGATACGCGCTAGCTTTAGTAAGTCCCTATTCACTCTACTTATGTATGTATGTACCATTTATGGACCGTACTCATTGATTAATCTGAAGATTCTTTTTTTTATATCAAAAGGTGGCAAACGAGCGAGCGGCCACCTGAAATCCCTGAAATAGCGAAGTGACCGTTGCCCATAGACATACGCAATTGCATATGCGTTGCCTACCTTTAATCGACGGAGGAGAGGATGCACAGAAAGAAAAAATATTTTCCCTTCCCATGCATCCTCTCATCCGGAAAGTCCACTTTCACTTCCCATCCTTTCCTTATAAGAAAAAGTGTGGGAAGGAAAAGAGGACTAAATTAGGCCTCCGGGACGCACACTCATCAGACGAAACGCAGAATTGCTTCCACTTCACGCCTGTCTTCTGTGTGGTCGTGGTATTTCACCGGGCGAGCCGGGGCAATTCGGGCGAAGATGTTAAAGCGGGCTCTACCACTGTTAACTTGTTAGTTAAGATTGTTGACTGTTAGTTGTTAGTTACGATCATAAAAATACAGGATAAAAGTACTGATTTGGGGTAAAATCTAATGATAAAACCCACTATGACGTTTATATTAATTTTATGTATTTCAGTTTTGCGGTTAACACCTGGATATTCGTAATAAATTGTCTGAGTAATCTTACAATGACCCAATTGACCTGATCTATGAATTCTATTATATTGTGAATCATTGGGAAAACTATCTCTCTTAACTTAGTTATTCAGGTCAAAATAACCACAATAATCAATGGTGTAGCCAAGGAATGCGGGTAGAAGCTATTTCATCATCATCAGCTCACTGTACGTCCCCACCGAGGGGCACGGAGCCTACCCTAAGTTAGGGTGATTAGGCCATAGCCGACCACGCTGGCCAAGTGCGGGTTGGTTGACTTCGCACATATCTTTGAATTTCTTCTCAGATATGTGCAGGTTGCATCACGATGTTTTCCTTCACCGTAAGAACGTCGGATAAATGCACATATGTAAATCGGACATCGAAAAAACACATTGGTACATGGCGGGATTCGAACCCAGGATC